GCCACAACAGTTGGCATCTCCTAAGGGGTCAAGTGTATTTTACCTCCTTTCGAATCTGGCCTTGCCTTGTAAAGAGCTTTGACAAAAAAAAGTGCATACATGGCATTATGTGACATCTGAAGCTAGGTCTTTCAGCTTCCAATTTGCTGTCTTAGAGAGCTGCCCCGGGACCGCCATGTAAGGAAGCCAGGCTAGCCTCCTGGAAGATGAAAGGCCATGTGAAAGAAAAACAAGGTTCTTCAACCGACCGCAAGGACCAACTGCCTGACATGTGAATGGAGCCCTCTTGGGCCTTGCAGGCCAGCTGATCCTCAAGCTAATTCAGCCTCATAAGTGAACCTGGGTGAAATCAGCAGAGAAAATAACCAACCTAATTCTAGAATCAAGGGAAATAAGCAATCATTCTTGTTTTAAGTCTCTAAGTTTCAGGGTGGTTTCTGATGCAGGCTAGGCTACCATGTAGCAAGGACTAACATGGTAGCATAGCCTGGACTCAATGTATGCTGCTATCAAGAGACTCCTACGTGAAAGATGGTGGCTCAGATCCAGAGAAGTGAATGACTTCCGGTTAGAGCCATGAAGACATGGTTCCTGGTGACCTCGGAGACTTAACACAGCTTCTCCAGAGCACACATGTAGAATAGATACTAACTTTTCAGGACTTCATTCAATTCAATTAGGAAAAAGTGCATTTATACAGTATCAGCAATGTGCAAAGTACATAAGGGGAGGAGAGGGGAAGCTATCATTTTCTACCTGTTTTAAAGTAGGTTAAAACAAAATCTTGACAATTATTGTGAAAAGAAGTGAAACATGATGCTCTGGAACAAATAAAAATGCATACCTTAAACAAAGAATGATTGTGGTGGGGGGCTGTATTGATCACTTGTCAACTTGGCTAGTTTGGAAGGATTTTCCCAGAATCTCCCACTTATGGTTCTAGCTGGAAGTTGACCAAAAGAGAAATTCGCACGAGGTTTTTGAAAGGTGTAGGGGAAGCTGTAGCCATCATGCCCTGAAGGTTTTCACAGTTAGATGCAGAGATGCCAATGGATTCTGCCATGTTCTTGCTTCATCCCCCACCATGGGTCCAGCTCTTCTTCCCAACTGCTGGTCCTGCTGACCAGCAGCTACCCCAAGCTAGACTTCCTGTTGGCTCTCCTTAGTAATTTAACTTCAGCATCTGGACGTGCTTAGCTTCCAGATTTTCCTGTAAGTTATCACTGGTCCTCTTGTATAGTGTATCAGAAGGGGGCTGGCTGGTGGTTTCTATCTGATCTTTCAACTCATCCTTTTGGACTTCTCTCCAACTTCTCCCCATTTGTGTAGTGTCTTCCTATAATAGATTCTTTATATCATGATACTCATAGTGATTTTGACTTCCCCGTGGAAACCTGGGAGATAGGATATCACAAACAGTTCAGAAAGAGGAAATTCTGAGAATAGATTTTGCTCTGGCATTTTCTATGGGATCACACTTAATTTTGAGAAGCCGTTTGTTTGACTTCCTAGCATCAGTGATGGTGGAAAATGTCCCTATGTTTATCAGGTACACACAGTCCCCTCATTCTTCACCTAGTCATGGAGAACCAGAGTTTGGAAGAAACCATTAAAATCACTCGTGCTCCTTAGTTGTTCCAGTTATAAATCCAGGAGGACCCAAGAGGTAGCAAAGGGGATTAATACACTGTCTAAAGAGATAAAGATCTCATGGGCAAAACCTGTATTAAGGAGCAGTAATCATAGCATTTTTTTAAAATCAGAAGTAGAGAAAAAGTAATATCAGATATTTAGTGAGACAAGATAATGTTTATGGCATTCGAAGGGAGATGTATCTCAGAAATAATTTAAATAGGTTTCAATACCTGTCATAAATACCAAAATACCAAAAGAAAACTCTGTTGGCAAATGTAACGTTGAGAGGTATGAATCAGTAAAGGATAAAAAATTTTCTGTAAGACAAATTGAAATGTGTCAGGGAGAAATAAATGCTATGAGGTCCATGCTTAGTAAAATTGAGTGTTGGACTTTGGAAAGCATTGTATGTGCAAAAAATTTACAGTGTTCATGGTGTCTTTCATAATGGTTAGATGGAATTTTCAAATTATAAAAATGAGCTGCAAGACTAGAGTTCTGAACTATAGATAATTTTTTAAGCTCAATGGATCAAGTCAAACATATGCTACTTGTTTTCACTTATGTTTGGCTCTAAATGGTTAACTCTGTGCCAGATTGGAGGGAAGATCGACCTAGACTCTAGGGGACATCAGAAATCCCCTGGGGCTTGCTGAATATATGCCCTCTGGGCCCACCTCCAGACATTCAATAGATCCTGAGTGGAATCAGGAAATTTCTGCTGTTTGAAAGATTCCAGGTGATTATGACCTAGATACTCTAAGATCACACCTTGAAAAACAGTTATCTGGACCCAGTAGAATGGGTCCTCAGGCTCTGTGCTGAGTATACCAAGTGAAAATATCTAAATGTTATTTTTAAAGTATAAAAATACCACATCACGTCCCATATGACACTTTGCTGAAGAAAACATACCATTTGCATTGTTTCCAAGTAAGATGCATGAGGCTCATTATTTGTGCACGCATGTGTGTGTGTGTGTGTGAACATCCTGCATTGATGCTCCTGAGGCTGTTGGCATCTCTGTCTCAGATGTGAAGGCATGAGGGTCTCAAATTTGGAGCCGATGCAAGAAGATGGCCGCAGACCAAAGCAGAATTTTTCTCCCATTAGAGTACTGCTAATTCCAAAGAAATGTATAAAATTACTCATGTGAATGTATTGACCAAGAAAAATCTACATTTTTTTCCTAAGAAGCATATTTAGGAAAATTAAGGACAACTTTAGTTCACTATGAAGAGTTTACTTTTGGCAAAAGGGGAAAATGTTGAAACATCCAGCTTTCAAAAATGGCAAAGGAGTTCACATTTTGTATTTAAGGGTTTGGCAATAATTCAGATGTGGAACAGGATATCAATCATCCACACGTGACATCTCAAATTTTCCTATTTTTTCGTGAGTGGAAAAGTCATTGTATTTAACAAGGATAAGTGTTTCAAACGTTCCCTCTTACATCTTTGCTTGTAGACTTTCTTCCCTCTGTCTGAAATGCCTTCCCTGCACCTTCTTCTCTTAACTAAATCCTGCTTTTGCCAGAGATTTAGCTCAACTCCACCTCCCCAGGGGGCTTTCCTTGAAATGCACCCCCATCCCTACCCCCTTACCCTCCTACACAGTCTCAGTACGGTCTCTTCCCTCCATCACTGCCCTGTGACTCTGATGTCTCCAACACCTTTGGCTCCACCAACAACCTGTGAGTTCAGTGAGATCGAAAACCTCGTCCTCTTCATATCTATTTCTAAGCAAATAGTAAGTGTTAAAAAATCTGCATAATAAGTGGATTTTAAAAATTGAAATTATTAACATTTGGTAAATCCTAATGAAACATAACATTAGTGCCTGAGTGTTAGTTGCACGTATACAAAAAATGCAGGAGGTCATTAGTTGCAAGATGTGTAACTACACCATAATAACATACATAATACATACATAATAACAAACATAATAACATACTGCACACCCACAGCAGCAAACACCTACAGGGACACTTAACTAAGAGTAGTAGGACCTATGACCTGCTATTTTGAACAGCTACAAAGTGTGATCAGAATTTGTTTTCCCCATTACACTGCAACACACACACACACACGCAGACACACACTCAAAAGGCAATGAAGTTTCCTGATCCTTCTGTTTGTTCTGTCTAGCACCTAGCACAGAGATGAGCAAACATCAATGTTCCTATTTCCTTTGCTCTTATTAATAGGAACAGTTTAGTATTTATTCTTTGATATAAGTGTACAGATTCTCCTAACCAAAATTTAGAAAACAAATAAGTACCTGATTTTCAAAGAAAAGGCATAAAATGTTTCCTTCCATTGATTTATTTATTTAAAATAGAACTTTATCACTTAAGTTGTATTGCTTATTTGGGAACAATTTTACATTTGTTTTTACTGTTCAAAACTTTTTAAAAGTGCAGATTGCTTACTTGTTTTGTGTTCTTTTTTCCCACTGCAAGTTGAGCTGTGCAACACTTAATCTGTGATTAAGAAAATGAATTTTGCTTTTAATCAATTAAATTTAAAAGTTGGCATATGAAGCTCATAGCTCCTTAAAAGAATGACTTAATAAAGAAGCAGTAGTTTAATATTTAGACAGTGAGACAATAATCAGAAAATAATAAAAACAGACATCTTTAAATAGATAAAAGTGACAATCTTATATAATGCATAGGTTTTATTCCAATAACTTCCAAAATTAATATCTCATGAATGAGTGAGTGCAAATCACCTTATTCAGTGCAATCAGACTGAACCTGCCGTCTTGACTAGAAAGCTATCACTGCAGAGGCATTTATATCCTAACAAACAAATATTGTTCAGGTAGGAAGATGAACACACGTGGGAAGGGAAACATGTACATATTTCAAATGAAAAACTGTTCCTTGAATTAAAAAAATAAAGAAGATTTCAGATAGTTTGAATCCTACATTCACCCCAAAATCCCTATGTCACTTTCTTCTTAATCTTAGTTCTTAATTCTTAATCTTCTATGTTAATTCTTAATCTTAATTCTTAATCTCATATCAAAAATATATTTTTGTCAATACAAATATTCCTGAGAATTCTGTACATTATATTATAGAAACAGTTTTTGTCTCACAGTTTATAGACTTAGAGATACGCATATGGGAAAACTCATTTTTACAAGAATATCTTAATTACATTAGGAAATTTTTTCCTTTTTTTCCCCGTTTTATTAAGATATAATTGATACACAGCATTGTATAAGTTTAAGGTATATAGTATAATGATTTGACTGACATATATTGTGAAATGATGACCACAATAAATTTAGTTATCCATCATCTCATATAGACACAAAAAAAAAGAAAGAAAAAATTTTTTTCTTACAATGAGAACTTTTAGGATTTCCCCTCTTAACAACTTTCAAATATACCATACAGCATTGTTAACTATAGTCATTGTGTTGTACATTACATCGCCAGCTCCCACTTTTGGTAACCGCAAATCTGATCTCTTTTCTATGACTTGTTTAGATTCCACCTACAAGTGAAGTCATACGGTGTTTGTCTTTCTCTGACTTATTTCACTTAACATAATGCACTCAAGTTCCATTCGTACTATTGCAAATGGCAGAATTTCCTTCTTTTTTATGCCTGAATATTATTTCTTTGTCTATATATTCCACAACTTCTTTAATCATTCATCTGTTGATGAACACAGGCTGTTTCCATATCTTGGCTCTTGTAAATAATGTTGCGAGAAACACGTGACTGCAGATATATTTTTGAGTCTTCGTACATTAGGGAAATTCTGAAAGAAACAATTGAAAGACATTTTCATAATACATTGTCATGCCCCCATTTCCTTGATGAGCCCATCCACCCACATCACTGATCTACTGTATCTATACTACTAACTCATCCATTTAAATTTCAACACCTGCTCCACATCTGTTTTGCCAGGATGACTTCAGTGCTTCACCATACATAGGACTATGAGTACAGCAAGTATTTTTACTACTTTTATCACTACACTTTTTATTACATTTTCCCAGTGCCGACCTTTCTAGTCAGAGAAATGTGACTTTGTCTCTAAATTCTACTACTATAGTAATGGGGTCATCCTTGACCCTTAGGTCAAGTTCTTCCAGGGAACATGGTGTTCTTAAACTACCCAGCACATATTTGGGAAAGAACTTTAAAATTTACCTTGAAGTTTAGGGATGAAATGACTCACCCTTTCAGTATCCCATCTGGCTACTTGGGTTCACAATTTGAAATTGATCGTGATCCAACACCACTAATACTCAAGTACCCACACAATCCTAATACAGCTTCAACTTCTAGCTGCCCCACGATCCATCCATTACACATGAAACATGTGATCTGAATCCATACAACATATTAAAGTAAAGTTATAGAAATTTACTGGCACACAGTGTGGATAAGAAAAAAGCAACAAAGCAATACAAAATACAAAAAGGTGGCCATTGTGGTTGTTGGTTAATGGTGTAGATCTTTACATGGGCGCTTATGCCATTTTTGAATATGCATATAGGGAAAGTATTGGGTCAGTTGTATCATGCCCCTCTTCCTGTCTCTGATATCAGTGCAAAAGTTCAGGTGATAATAATTTTTCTGGATGACAGCAATCAACTTCTAACTGGCTTTCCCTTTCCAATCCTGCCTTTTTCCTTTCATCCTCCATAATATTGACAAAAACACCTCCCTAAAAACTTTTAATCCCTTGCTAGCTCCCTACTGCCTATAAAATATAGTCATAACCCCTTCAGAAAGTATACAGAATAAAGCCTTAATAATGTGGCTCCAACTTGATCAGACCACCCCTCTCTCTTCTGTCTCCCGCCTTTTCCTGTGTGCCCCAGAAAAAGATGCTTCGTGTAGGAGGTGATCATGCATCTGCTTCATCCATCTAGTGACTAACATGGAACCTGACACATATCAGACACCAAAAGACAGAGTCCAGATTCAAGATGGTTGATGAAGACACTTAACTTCCTTCCTATTCCAAATCGCAAGGGGAGAAAATGAGGTAGAAATCTGTCCATGGCAGCACTGGAAGCACAGGAATAGTGCAAACAGTAAATGAGCTCAGGCAGGAAGTTGAGCATGATTTCAACATTGACCAATAGAATCCAATAGGGCTGAGGAATCTGTGCCCCAATACATGTTTTTTAAAAGGCTCTTATAAATTTTCATGATTTCCAATTATTTAGGATAATCTATTTTTTAGCATGGACACAACTGATGAACAAATTAGTGACCCAGAAGATCAAGCAGAGCAATTCTCTCATAATACACTGAAAAGATAAAGCTATGGAAGGTGTGAGGAAACTACCAGGAGAAATAAAGGATAGATTCAGAAGTTCCAGTTTCCATTTAATAGGGATTCCAATTCCAGGGAATGAAGAAGACGCAGGGTTGGAGTAATTAAAACAGAAAATTTCCCTGCACTGGAAAAAAAAAAAAAAAGATGTAAATATTTCGTTTGAAAGGGTTGATACTGCCAAGCTGGAACGTTCTCAACTTAGTGAAAATTCAGCTTCAATGATAAAGAGAAAATCACAACACTGAAATCACAAAAATATGAAAAGAGTTTCCTTCAGCTTCAAAGGAGTGGAGTTAGAATGAGAATGCAGATGTGTCATCCGCAAATCTGGATGCTATAATGGAAAAAGTTCCTCTCGGGTTCTGAGATTAAATTATTTTGAACCTAGAATTCTACATCCAGCAAAATTGCAAATCAAGTGTAAGAGCAAAAGAAAAACATTCAGAGGCACAGGAAGACTCGGACAGCTTAAGAGCCATAAGCTCTTTCTGTAAGAATTACTCAGTGCAATACTCAAACAAAGCAAAAAAATGATGTATATCATAAAGAGAAAAGCATAGGATAAAAGAAAAAGTAGTAAAAAAAAAAAAAAACCCAGCCTGTTAAACTCTTGATTTAGTTTAAATAATCATCATTAAGTGACTAAGACATCTAAGATAATTATACGATTCTTATGCTCTAGAAATTCCTAAATTCCTAAGTAAAATAACAAAGCAAAATTTTAGAAAGAGCAAATGGAAAAACATAAAATAAGAGGATATTATATTATATATCCCTTTATAACAATATTTGGGTAAATCTAGAAATCTAGATTCTAACGCCCTAGATTCTAGATTCCAGTGGGTCCATAATCTTGGATTGTAAAAGAAGTTATATCTTTATCTCCACTCACCTCTAACTGAAAGTTAGCTTGACCTTCAGTTATGAACCTAGGCAATAAACATAGTGATATTAGCATCACCTGTGACAGTTGTCTATACAAATCACACAAATGTCTATATCACTTTTCAGTTGGTGCAGGTATGTGAAAATATCATTATAGTCATTAGATCAGCTGTAGATTGCACATAGTCTCCAAGTTCATGTCTACAGATGCCCCTGCAAATGGGCTGACCACCCTCGCCTACCGGCAGGGCAAATGTGCCTAATTATCCATTTGGTGCCTCTGTCACCCATTTTACTCTCTCTAATATCCTTATCTACCTCTGTTCACCAATAGTTGAAAGGGGGTGAGCTTTTCCCCTCACTTCGTAAAGTTTTGTAAAACTGGACAGTTGATATGAGAATGTTTAACTCTCCATAAGGCAGGATGGTGTTTGTAAAACTGATAACTGATGAGCTACCAGTACAAGCCTTGCAAGTTCAAACACATCGCAAGATTGAGATAACTGCTGAAGCATTATTTAAAGTAACTTATTAGGAGTCACAGATTGCACAGTGATACAGGCCATGCACGTTACAAGTTCTGAGGAGCAGCAAAAGTTCTTTTCTTTATTTGGATTCCTTTTCAATTCCTGTTTTGTACACTGTTATGAAGTAAAGACAAGCCTCACAATATATTATAGGAACAGGTTTTGTGCATGTTTATTCCATGAAAATACTGTCCGTATTGAGAATAACATTGTGAGAACATAATAATCAGGAAAAAAAAACCCACACACCTTATTTGTAGGAAGACACAGAAAGTCATGTGATTCCACTCACAATAAAAGTCAAATTCCAGGAAGAACAGTTTTTAAAATTATTCTAAGAAGAGGTCCATAGATTTCATCAACTGCCAAAGGGGTTCAAGGCATTTAAAAATAAATAAATAAAAAGCAAAGGATCCCTGATCTAGATCGAGTAGATGTTTTCTAAGAAGATAAAAATTACCAAAACTAACTCAAGAAGTGGGGGTGGGGGGATGGGCTAGACCAATAATTATAGGAAAACCTGAAGGGTAAGCAAAGATTTACATACATACGTCTCATCACCCTCACCACCCTACCACTATCACAGACTTGTGCCAAAATGCTGCTACCAAACTTGCAAGGAACGGATCATTTCCCTCTCTCTCTCTCTCTCTCTCTCTCTCTATATATATATATATATATATTTATTTATTTATATTTCTATATAGCAGTGTGTATGTTCATCTCAAACTCCTGATTTCTCTCTCTCCCTGCCCCTCTACCCCACTATCCCCTTTGGTAACCATGTTTGTTTTCTATGTCTGTGAGTCTATTTCTGTTTTGTAAATAAGTTCATTTGTATCATTTTTATTAGATTCCACATATAAGTGATATAATATGATATTTGTCTTTCTCTGTCTGACTTATTTCACTTAGTATGATAATCTCCAGGTCCATCCATGTTGCTTCAAATAGCATTAGTTCATTCTTTTCTTATAGCTGAATAATATTCCATTGTGTATATACCACATCTTCTTTATCCATTCATCTGTCAATGGACATTTAGTTTGCTTCCATATCTTGGCTACTGTAGATAGAGCTGCTGTGAACATTATGGTGCATGTATCTTTTTGAATTATGTTTTTCTCTGGATATATGCCCAGGAGTGCAGGATCATATGGTAAGAACTCTTAGAAAAAGGAAAAAAACAAACAAAAGAAAGTACCATTCTACATATCAAGTAAAATAACCCTGATATTGACTATGAAAAGGATGTATACAAATGAAAACCATTAAAGCAATACTACTTATAAATATGTACACAATTCCTAGGGCATTGAGGGTTGTGGTTTTGCAGATAGGAGAAAAAAAGAGAGTTTAATAAAATAACTATTTAAGCTGGAAAAGAGAAGTGAAGAGGAGAGGAAATAGGTCAATGATCTAATCTATTCCTGCTGTTGGAATAGAAAAGTTCAGTTGAGAGGAGTTGATGAGGAAGATTATTACATATTTCTATTATGGGATACTATGCAGCAATTTAAAGAATGAAGTAGATATATGTACAATAAAAAGTAAAACTCCCCCAAGATATACGGTTGAATATGTTGAATAAAATCAAGATGTGTGTGTGTGTGTGTGTGTGTGTGTGTTTCTACCAAACGACGCCATTGCAAGGAAAAGCTCTCACAAATTTTTATTTATTTATTTTTTACTTTCCAATGGTTTGATATTTCTATGCCTAGTATGCATTTCAATTTTAAAAATATTTTTTAAAAGCTATTTCCACGTTGGAAAAAAATGATGTGCATAAGTCCATCATATAGAGACACTGCTGTTCATATTTCTATTTGTTTTTATCCAATATGTTTTAAAGTATCATTTTAACTTTATTTATTTTTAAATTTATTTATTTTTGGCTGCTTTTGGTCTTCGTTGCTGTCCGCAGGCTTTCTCTAGTTGCAGCGAGCGGGGGCTACTCTTCATTGCAGTGCACGGGCTTCTCACTGCAGTGGCTTCTCTTGTTGTGGAGCACGGGCTCTATGCATGCAGGCTTCAGTAGTTGTGGCACGTGGGCTCAGTAGTTGTGGCTCACGGGCTTAGTTGCTCTGTGGCATGTGGGATCTTCCTGGACCAGGGATCGAACCCATGTCCCCTGCACTGGCAGGCAGATTCTTAACAACTGCGCCACCAGGGAAGTCCTTTCCAATATTTTTTGATGCTAATGTCCTTTTTTATGGAATGGAATCATATTGTGCACACTGTTTTTAATCAGCTTTTCCCACCTTTTCATAGCATGAAATATTTCTCTAGTATCATTTTTAACGGCTAACTAAAGCCTTGTTTTTAAATATTTATGCTTATTCAGTTCTTGTTTCTATCAAAAATACTTCCATAAAAATCTTGTAGCTATAATTTTGCAAATATCCATGACTATTTTCTCAGCATGAATCCCCCAAAGTAAAAATGCCGCTTTAAAGGTTTTAATGCAAAATTCTGAGGCATTCAATAGCTATGGCCAAACTGCCTTCCAGAAAAATTTTAAAAATTTACATGCTCACCAACAGCATATGACAGTGTCTCTTTCCATGCCGTTTTGCCAGCACTGAGAATATAATTTTTTTCATCTAGTTTTTAATACTAGGTCCCTAAAACTAGATTTATCATGAAATTAAGGATTTTTCCATTCTAACTCTATGTTAAGTTGTGTTTTCAAATTCAAATACCATAGCGATAATTACCTTAAAGCAGCTTTGATTGCATGAAACACAGGAATCAATACAACATTTATGTACCTCTTACAGACTTTTTCCCTAAGCTTCCCTTCTTTGGCTATCTGTTACACTACAAGATTGAGGATTAGGTTTTGAGAGTCTGCTTTTAACTGCCTCTAATGAGTAAAATTATTAAAATTTAAATATAACTTTAAAAACTATGCATTGGACTTTGTGCCATTGAGGAAGGTCAAATTCAAGCCCCTTATTTAAAAAGACCTCTCCTTGAGAGATCACAGAAGGAAGTCTATTAACATTACATCTTTCTCCTTTCTTTTCCTCTTTACTCATTTTAAAACAAGGCTAATGCTGACTGAAAGCTAAAATTGCATAAAACTGTCATGACTTATGCTATACGGCATCAAAATTGAGTGTGCTCCCACTGAAATCACTGTACACAATCATTAATGAAAATCCTTGATGAATTATCCATCTAAACAAAGCCTAGCTATTTTGTTTTCTAAACAATCCTGGAAAGGACACATTAAAGATTGCCAGCTTGGGCATTTTATATTTTTATTTTCAAACAAGAAATTTAGAGTTTGGTATATTTGGAGTTTGGTAACTAAACATTCTCTTGTTCCTATAAGAGACCGTGATGAGTTTTCAAACAAAAATGCTGTTTGAAATACTTTGACACTAAACTTTGAGACTGTGAAATGGTCTAAAATTTTTAAATTATTTCTTTTGGGAAGGAAAATAAGATATTTGCTTGCTCTGGTTGTAGTTGTGCTGTAGAAATGCAAATAAAACGATAATCTACGGAGAAAAAGTTGAAGATGATGGTTGCAAATGATTTTATTGTGTAGATGCAGCCATGTTTTTCAATTAATTATAACGACAGTGTTAACTTTTATTGTTTATTCTCCTATAAAAATTGCAAAAATGCTACAATACTGAAAAAAAAGTAGTTGAGGGAGATCAAAGCAGATCAAAAGCAATTGAAACCTCTGTTGTCTTAGCAGTTATCAAAGGAAATCACACAGCTCTCAAGACATCCAATACTTATTTCATTAAAAACCATACAGTTGAAGTAAAAAAAAAAAAGAAAAAACAACAAGATAGCACAATAAACACAATTTTTCTCTGTAGCTTCACCCAGGATCTTTTCAAACATGTGAAGGCCTGCATAACTTATTTACAAAATAATTATAAACCCTAAAACTTAAATTTTTGCTTTATATACTACTTACCTGGCCACGGACCTATTTCTTTCTTTTATTGCCAAGCTCCAATGATAAAAGGTCCACATTAACCACATCAATTTCATTTATTCCCAGCTCAACTTTTTGTAATATATCAGCTCAATCAAAATATTAAGTTTGTAGTTTCAGATGAGTCACCACATTAGAGTAATGCCACCTGACAAAGGAGGTGCTAGACCATACAAAATTTACAAAAGAGGTGTGTTGAAACTTTGTTACATGTTTCCTGGAACCCCTCACCTACTTCAAGGTTGTAAAAGGGGTCAGGTGTGGGAGATGAAAGAAGAATTTTGAGGGGAATAACTTTGAAGAGAACTCTGAAGTCCAGCTCACAATGGAGAGGGAGACATCCCACCACTACCCACTACCCCAAACCTAATGAGAGGGGCTTCAGTAAGGCCCTTTAGGCTGTTTCTTGACATGCATTCTTTGCAGTTGGGGGATCCAGAGGACCTTTGCTGAACTCCTATAAGGGAAAGCTAAAGGATCTGGGGATGGCCAGTGGAAGGGCCATTGCTGGTCTGGGAGATAACTTCACTGCCTACTGATAATAGGTATAAGG